TGCTCCGTGCCACAGCTTCGCAAGGCCTCCAGCTTTGGGACCAGGGTGTCGGTCGACTCCGCTAGGACCCAGAAGTCCTGCGGACGACGACGACGACGACGTGAGTGCCATGGGCCATGGGATCCGGTCGGGTCTTGGCCATGGAAGGATCCTCAGAGTTCTCTGGGATCCTCAGAGTTCTTTGGGATCCTCAGAGTTCTTACAGGAAGGATTCAATCACGATTCAAAGGATACCCCCCTTCCGAACCAAACATCGTTTCAGGCACCTGGAAGGCTGGGAAAGGGGCTGGGCAAGTTCATTTGGACAAAGAGCACCATTTGGACATGGTCCACATGTTCTCTGGCTCCGGAACCCAGGTCTTCACGAACTTCATAAAGAACACTTCCAGCGAGGGCCGGTGCTTCTCCTTCCGGAACATCTCGAGTGCATCGCCTGTGGAGATCCCCAAGAGCTCTGCCAGGCGCTGGAAACGCTCTTCGACCTCGGGAAAGCCGGGCTGGTTCTTGGGTGAAGCTTCTGAATCTAAGTGGGTGGATGGAGCAGCAACTAGGCGTTCCAGGTAGGTAGAAAACCCACGGCAGGTCCTGTTTTGTGCGTAAGTGGGTGCTCGGAAACTCGTCTTTGGCCAAAACCGGACCTGTGTGATGCGCCGAAGCCCATGTCGAATCGTCATTGATGCGCAGGCGCTTTCATGCTTGTTGCTTTTCGGCAAACATGGTGTTATCTTTGCTTCACTAGGCCAACATAGAACGCATCTGGCCCATCCATCACACCGTCACACCCCACATCATCCTCCCCGCAGCTTGACCAAGCAGCCGCAGGTTGACTGCAATTGAGCCCTCAGCCATCACATCAGAAAAAAGAAAAACCGGTGGTACCGGAGGAACGATTCCATCCCTGTTGACTCGTTCGTCCTTTTTGGCCGGACGTTGGTTTCACCGGTGGTTCTACGTCGTGGTTCCACCGGTTCCGTGCTTTGCAGTGACGATGGGTCCTGCACCGTCTTGGAGCGGGTTTTCTCCGGTTTTCGGTCGCCTTCGTTGACCACCGCATGGGGTGAAGAGAAATCGACGACTGGACCATGGTCAAGCATGGTCAACCGACTGGGGAGGTCAAACGGGCTCCGGAACAAAACCCACAGCCATCTAATTAGATACCATGGTCAAAAGGCATCACATGCTGATGTCCCATGTCGCGGGGAAGCGTCACTGGCTTGAAATGTAGCTGCTGTGTTGCCTCTCCTTTTGGAGAACGTGGCACCATGGGATTGTGGGTATGTGGGTTTGAATGGGTTTTACATGCTGCAAACCAAGCTAGAATGATTCTCTTCGACCTGTTGTCCATATCTGCAAAACCTTGCATCTTTCCAAGGTCCTCCCTGCCCCGGAAGAAACTTCACCGGTGGTGACACCACATCCAAAGCCATGCATTCTTCGTCTGTCAGCCCTGGCTGATGCGCCTTGACATGGACTTTCTAGTCTCGGAAACCGCGCCTCTCCCGCTCAAGCAACTGGGACTGCCTTTCAGTTGTTCTCACAACTACTGGAACCACATGAGTATTGGACGCAATCTGTAACTAAGAAGGGATTCAGATCGATCGATCCATCTCAATGACTGGTTGTGCTTCTCATGTCACAGGTCTTGGGCCATGGCCACTTTGCACAAACACATGCGAACGGGGGGCCATAGTATTCCCGGCGCGCGGCGGCCAAAGGGAACTGGTCTTTCCAAGTTTCCTTAGCATGAGACAGCGCGATGCTGGTTTGTACAGAAAGATTCAAGGTTGGATTCCTTTTGGAAGGGCCATCTTCAGGGGAAGTGCGTTCGGGGGTTAGTTTGATGCCAGTTCTTCCATTTGATTCTTCACCTGTGTGATCTTCTCTGCAGTGTGATCTTCTCTCGAAGTCTAGTGGCGTGCAGCTGCAAGCTTCCAACTTCCGACTACGTCTGATAAGGCCACACTCCCTGAAATCACGACATCCTCCACTGGCGGACCTGTTTGGGTCTTGCATGGTCTCCATCTGTGCCAAACCCCGGAACTCGCTGGAGCCAGAACTCATAAGCAGCACGCGAGTTCATGAGGTCCTCTTCCGAGAGGATTCGCTCCTCTACGTTGTAAACGGCCACGTCTTCCTGAGGAACTTCCATGCAGATGTGCCAGTGCAATCTTTAAAACCTGAAAGGTTACAGAATCTTTTAAGAACTTAATAAGCATCAGAATCCCCTGCCACACAAGTCACACCCACTCCATCCGATTCCTCAAGTGAGAGGGCCTTCTCTCCTCTCCGTTCGCTCTTTGTATGATTTTGTTTACAGTAAATGAGTCCTCCTGAAGATCATCGTCAAGTGGGCTTTAGCGAGCGGTTGAAACGCATCTGGTTTCCAGACAAGGGAGTCGAATCTAAAGAGAGCAGATGCACAACGATTTCGAGGCTGGGTGTCTTGCCAGGAACGTGATACTGCACAACCCCGGGAATATACAAGCTGAACTCAAACCAACAGGCTGTGTGAATCTGTTGCATGCAGTGTCAAGCAACGGTTTCAGGATAACTCTGTGGGTGGTTAATCAAAAACTCACCAAGACTTTCCTGGCACACGATAAAATCCTCCCATGCATGTCTTCATAAGGCACACTTTGCTTGTACAAACGAAACACAGGACAACCATATCCATAAACAACCCCGCAAACATCTGATCCGAACAAACAATCTCGAAACCCTTGTCCTTATCTGGTGGGAACACATCAATGGACTCCCTGCGCACCTATGCTTTGCACCTTTTCCCAAGGAAGATCATGGAAGATTCTACTTGGATGTCTTTCCACTAAGCGGCTGCCACCGCCCGAGTGAGGCGAGTGAGGCTGGAAGGTGCAGGCGAACGCAGCGACAGTGCGGCCGGCGCTAGGAAGCATGGAAGCTGCAGCAGCCTGGGTGGTGCAGCTGGGACTTCTGTAGGCTTCCCCCGAACCAAGGCGATTGGAAGAAGCATGGAAGTGGCAATCACTGAGCTTTCTCATTCTTTCAACGTAGCATCTTTCGAGATGGTTTCTTGGAAAGAGCGACGCCTTTTGGGCTTTGTAGGATTCGACTGCGAACCGGAAAAGGGCAATCAGCTTGCAGGGAGGAAGAAAGAACATGAGAAAGAACAAGAAAAATTGTCAAGAGTTCAATCAGGGAGTGGTCTCTGGATGTCTCTGGGTATCTCAAAGCCTCATGGGAGTCCTTTGGGGAATCAAAAGGACAAACAGCTGAAATGACTGGCCCGAAGGCCCAGCTCATGCCATTACAAAAATGGGAACTTTTCACAGCCTCCTCTGGTGACCTCGTGACCTGCAATGCTGTTGCCTTCTCGTTGAGGGCCCGTGAAAGAGCTGCAGGGTGCGATGAATGCTGGACTTGTCATTCGTCCCTCAAAAAGTTCGATGCATGTCAAGAAGCTGGTCAAATAGGCAAAGCAATGGCAAAAAAGAACACAATTGATCTGGTCTTTTCAATCCAATTCAATGAATGATAGCCTCCAAGCCACGAGACGACGCTGCAAATGCCTCACAGAAAGACAGCCCAAGTCGTGGAGGACAGTTCCACCTGCGAATTTAGATACGATACGATTATGTACTACTGTAGTAGCATCTTTGCGCCTTGCAAATTTCTACACATTAGGTGCGAGGCCTAGAAACACGCGTGGCCTTGTGCAGCTGCGAGGCATGTCGAAATGCTGGGCATGGCGGAGCTGCCATGTGACATGACACATTCCGCAATCAAAAGGGGCCATGACATGAACGAAGGATCCCACAATACTACTTTACATCAATCCACCTTTTTTTTCTGGCTCATGTGTTTTGGGAAGGAATCTTTGGGAAGAACCCAGAACTGTTTCGCCTGTTCCCACCCTCTTCCATTTGGATGAATCGAGTATACTGTCCCACCGGTGGATGGCTGGTGTGAACATCCCGATCAGCTGAAAGACCAGGCGGCCAAAAAGCTGCTTTGACCGTACTCTTCTTGGCCTCCCAAGGTGCGGGTCTGGGAGAACCTAGTAGCGTTTTCGGGTATACTATGCTCGGTGGCCATCGCAAGTAGGTTGGAGGCCATCGCTACGAACGTAACAAGAAGCAACATGTTTTGGAACATATATCTTCGAAAACAACTGCGCAAATAAGCCATCGGCATGCGGTCTGCAGCTGGTGGAGTACTTCTTCCAGCGACTATGGGTGAAATCTTTTGCGATGTCTTTCTGGACCAAGTTTGTCCCATGAACATGTGAAGAGGTGTCAGAGCTTGCAGTTTCCAACAACGTGGACATATCAGGGAGGGTACACCAGGTCTACCAGACACACATCCACTTGCTAATGCACTCTGATCTGATGCAACACATGGCTAATCCCTTACAAGGACACGCCTGTGCCGAAGCGCAGCCATCTGCTCACGGCAAATGGCAAAACACTACGGCACACGTGTCCGCGAGGAAGCAAATAATAGTGAACTTGGTAGAAGCGAGCAAACATCATGCAGCGCAATGGAAAGGCTGTATGCACAAATCACTCAGAATTCCAGAAAACCATATATTACAACAGGTGTCTGTCTTTACACGGCTTGTTGGTGTCCAATTTATCCGACTTTGCACCTGCTGAGCCGAAGAATCCTTGCGCAGATCGCAGAATCTTGGGGCCCCCCAAGGCCATCTAAATCCAGCAGGTACCAACGTGGCACGCTTCCTTTGGACTTCCAAGCAGGCACCAACCGAGCTGCTTCCGCAGTATCAGTACACACACTTGCGATAAAATCCACCACAAGCGAAGCATGCGCAGGAATTGGTGTTGAGAGGGGGCAACTCACCTAGTATTGATCTTGTCATATGAGACATGTGTAGATCATTATCTGCCAATTGAGTGGAGCAGGTTCCTCACTTTCAAACCACCACTTCCAGGCCGACGATCGAAGAAACCAAACCTGGTTTCGTGAGCGCCCCGCTTCCGGCTCCCCGAATGTGTAACCGCTGCCTCTCAGAGTGTAGCCGCAGAATCAAGACCTTCGCAGTAGGATCAGTTCCAATGTCCCCAATGTGAAAGTCCGATGATGATCTCGGTCTGTGCACGAATCCTTTTTAGGGTGCTTCCGGTTCGTGCTTCCCCCCGTTCGCCAAACATGTAGGGCCACGGAAGCTAACCGTTGTACAGCTTCAAGCTGTGCACAGGTGCAACATCGCCGTGAAAGAACCATACATTACTACACACGATCTTGAGTTCTCACTCTATTTTGAGTTTCCAATCGATGAAGGTCGTTGAGTGCCCTGCAATTGCATCTTGGGTCAAGGCTGTGGTATTCAATTCAACCGTTTGGAACCTACAAGGATGATGTATCATGCAAAGAAGAAAAAACCGGAGGGGGGGACACAGCAGTGAGGGGCTGAGTGTTCTGAGTGCATTTTTGCAAATTCCATTCTTATTCATCGATCCCAGAATAGGGCTCCTCTGTACAGACTGAGCAAGCCAAGGATTTCTTGAAATTGAATGTTCAACAGTGCTGTTATCAGCTACAGGAGCCCGCGGCTTGATCTTTTGTTTTGTTTTTGGCAAACATACTTCTTTATGAGAACAACTTCTCCATCAATAAATCCCTTCCTTATTGAATGTAGGGGCTAAGCGGCCCAGGGAATTCTGAAACTGCTTACTGTAGGTTCACTAGACAGTGGGGGGGGACCGGGCCCTTCCAAATGTATTGAGAAACCACATTGTTGGTGGCGTCAGTTAGACATGCGACAAATCTACCACGTCGTATGCTAAGCTGGCCTGGTTTTTGGTTCGAGCACGATGATCAACTTACGACGCTTGCTGTACTCATCAGCGAAATCAGGAGAGCTTTCCCGCTGGATATGTGCACTGGGGCGTGGCAACATTGAGTATTGGCAAATGCATGCCTCTGGTGCCATCCTTGGTGCACTCACAGATTGTTCATGTTTTTTCCTTCTTTTCTCTATATCATGATCCACTGAGCTTTTTACTGCTTTGATTAACCTAGACATGTGGTCATGTGATGTTGTCTTCAGTCTTGCATTGTGACGGTCGACTGTTCCGCTTTTCCTCGATCGGCCCCGAAGGACGATCTGGGCAGTTTCGGGCGTCACGTGTGCGGCTCGAGGGGTGGAATAGGAGGCTCCCTGGAAGTAAACCTAGCTAAGCAAACTAGTAACTAGATGTAACTAGTCGCGAGTCAACATCTCTGGCACCCGAGAAAACGGAACACAGAGATGAATGACCACATTCTCAAACCCTCAGTCCAAAAGTCCTACACCATTAAGATCCTAGCGATCTGTTGACAACAAGTTGTTCGTAGTTCGTGGTGTTTCTGATGTTTCCCAAACGCCACTCGTCCCTCCATGGCGCACCGTCTGAGCATGAGAGGAGGGCATCAGCTCAGGACTTGCATGGGAAGGCACCTGCACATCCGCCCGTCCGGGCAGTGGAGCCCTTCCGAGCCTTGCCTTACTGTTCTTACTATATCTTACAATCACTCGCTACTAGGGTGGAGGCCATTGCTACTAGGTGGAGGCCTTCGCTATTAGGTTGGAGGCAATCGCTACTTTATGGGTAGTCACCTGATGCGGATTTGAGGATAACAAACAAGGACAGTTTAGGGATTCCCGCAGATTGAACTTTGTTCTGCAAAGGCATGGGGGCACAGGGTCCGGTGCTTTGACACGCGAGGCATAGGGATAGTGCTCAACATCTTTCCAACTTGATCAAACCGTCAATCATCATAGTAGCAACGAAAAGTACTCGCAAGAAAGCAAAGACATTCACCCACCACAAGATCCACAAGTACGATATTGTTATGTATATGTATATATATATATATAATACAGTAGTATATATATATATATTATGTAAGGCAACACTTCCTTTTGTCACGCATGGTGGTGGGAGCCCAGCAGGACGTCGTGACTGGGCCGTGAATGTCTTACCACGCCTCAACGACCGGTACCTATAACGACTTGTCCCTTCATCCGATGGTTGGACGTGCGACGGGTGACCCTTCTCTGAAACGAAACAAGAACTGAACAAACCAATCCCAGGAAGCAGGGAATTGGTTAAGGAGATGTGCAATCAGGTGCACACCTGCCTGCGCCGCAGCAGGAAAACACACGCGCCGGCGGCTTTGATGCCAGAGAGTTTCATTCCACATCGGGCACGCAAATACATCACCCGGCTGCTTGCACTCTTTATACTATACATCAGCACATGTGAAGTGGATATTCTTTCTGGCTAGCGGCTAACTGCATCACCCACCTCCTCCAAGAGCACCAAGCGTCCGCCATCGCCCCAAACCTCGCGCTGGACACCCGTCTTGAGGACACACCTGGGATGTTGCAAAAACATCGGCTGAAACATCTGAGTGAAATTGACCAGGTGTGAAGTTTTGCATGGCGTTTGTTATGGCGTTTGTGCCAGATTTGATGGACCTTGTATGACTTTGTGTTTCAACTCTACCATTCGTGATTCTGTCGCTTCCTTCCCTGCCTCAACGCTCCACCCCACTCAGGCTTCCAAGCAGGGGTATTCCTTGGCAAGCCGATCACTCTTTCTCACATGGATCGAAACCAATTTTCAGGGATGTCTCGCAGATCTGAAAAGCCATAAGAGATTTTTGAGCGCACAGTGCGGATGACTTAACAAAAACGATCTACGAATCAGTGGAATGCTTCTGGTCATCCATCTTGATTCCAGTTCCCGTCCACCCTGGTCCACCTCCGTCCGGTGCCCAAAGGCGATGGACGGTGTCCCGGTTCGCTGCGGAGCGTGTCTTCGGGGCGGTTCGGTTCAACGTGACGCGGTTCGGTTTGGAGCCCAAGGAGAAGAGTACAAAATGATGGAGTACAAAATGGGCTCCACTAGGATTGTTGATTCAAAACGAATCTAGTAACCAGACCAGTCAGACTTGGACCATTTCTCCAGTCATTTGGATGAAGAAGGCCCCACGCCAGGAGTTCCATGTCCAAGCTGCAGGAACAGAAAAGCCACCAGGGAAGCCGATCGGTCCTGAGGCATTCAAAAATAAGTTCCTGCCCTTTATAGTTCCCGCAAATACATATAACATATAATATGTATATAAATAAGTATAAATAAATATATATATATATTATCAGTAGATAAAGTAATCAAAATTGGGGGGGGCAGTTCTGCACATCGAAGGCAAACTCTCACTGAGCATGTGTGACACGACCAGCTGCAACCCTCCCCCAAAATGCATGAGAGGAGGATCATGGTGGGATCACTTTGCTTGAAAATAACGGATCTAAAACATAAGGAATGCCGGGCACGTTCCACAGAACTGCGCCGGAACGCTCGTCTCGCGCCTCAAAAGGCTCAGTCCTTTTCCTCTCCGATGGGAGCAACTCTTCATAGGCTCGTCCCAAAGCGGTGGCAGCTCTTTGGCAACCACCGCTGTTTCTTCTCAACCGTTGGGGCTACGGCCAGTGATTACGGCCAGCGGCAAAACCCGACAGATGATCTCAATTAGCCAAAGGTCATCGTGCCAGAGTTGGTCAAGGTGTCAACATCGCCTGAAGGCCCGCAGCTAAAGGTGCAGCTTGGCCCATGTCCCTTTGCACCTTGATTCTCCTGCAAGCTCACTTCGCAATACATGAAACTTCAGGGGTCGTATCATATAAAATATGTTCTTTGAGGGTGGTATGTCACAGACGTGATCCGCGTGCGTCTATCGCAAAAGCTAACCAACTCTTGCTGTTCCTAAAATCTGCAGCCCTGAAATCATCCAAAGAATTCAGCTTAAACAAGCTTTCAGAAACACCTCTTCTCCTTGCAAAACTCACTGATCATGGCTGTATTGCAGCTGGAAACTGCCATGTCCAGGTTGGGGGAATCCCCACCCAGAGTCATTGTGCCGACGTTATCGAGGTCATAGATGTCTCCAGTGGTGCTGCAGCCAAATGTGCAGCTAGGGCCCTTGACCTTGACGCCGTGATGCTCCTGGCTTTGGTGTTCCAAATCGTCCCAAATGTTGGATGTATATAAATGAATATAAATGACATAAACTGAATCAAACTGGAACTGAAGCTGTTAGTTGAAATGCCAGTAGCAGATTTGAGAGAACAAGAAGGCTTTCTGGAGTTCCTGACAGAACTGGGCAAGATCCATCACGTTGCTGCAGTCCGCGACTTCCAGCTGCTGTGGCTGCCCGTTTATGTTCAAGGCCAAGCTTTCTCCCACAAGTGCAGCTACTGAAAGACACCACAACGACACCATGGGGCCCAACTACGACAAAGGGGTGCGGTAGCGAGTGCCCGTCCGCGCTGAACTAGCCAGCTGGCGAAAAGAATTATGTAAGTGTTCTGAGTGACCGGGGAGCTTAGAATCGACTCCTCCTCCTCCTCCTCCTCCTCTGTTCGATGTCTCATTACAGTAGTGGACGCAACTCACTGGTTGTTGGCCATACAGCCATACAGCTATATGATGAAACCAAGTACATGTACAGTGCAGCATGCCCTTCTACATAGTGTATTGACCACTAGAAACAGATGCAGGCCACAGGGGTTCCGATAATCTCCGATAACGTACTTCCATGTCCTTGCAAGATAGATGTGCATCTGGGGCACCGCGCCTCAGTGCAGCCTGGCACAAAGCAAGATGCTGAACCGAAATCGAAGCATCAAAGCCACCTGTCTCTAGCTACCATTAGAATGGTGACATTCTACAATCCGATGGGTGCAGCTGATGACATAGACACTATTGAGTTCATTGCCAAATTTGATTTCCCAATAAGATAGATGCAAAGGAACCATAGTAGAAGTCATGCTTCTTTTGGGGTTGGGGTTCCCACAAAACTTTGACCAAAGCTTTGATTCACTTTGATCCACCACCGGGAACCGGTGCACACCACCGGTAAGTCCGGTCCCGGTTCGCCCGGTCCTGGTGGCATCTCCACCTGAAGCAGCGTGGCGAAAAGCAGATGGCTCGACGGTCTCGAACAACGAAGGATCGGGTTGTTTTTGGGGTTTCCACTCGTTTTGTTTTTGCCGACACCGACGAGGGAGATGGTACCTTTTTTTTTCGATAGATAGGTGGTCAATCCCCATCTATCCAAATGTATGGAAACGGTGCCACGGCGGTCCTGTTTGATTCTACTTGGGGATGATAGATGAAGTGTACCACATGGGATGTCTTGGATACTCCCACACGCACGGGTCCTATCGGGTGTCACAACCGGCTTGCTCCATGGAAAAGGGCTTTCGCTGCGAGTTTGCCAGACCGAGATGTCGATGGAGACACAAGAGAGAAGTTACAAACCACAATACATGTATACCTGAGTACCTGGTAGGCCTCAATACAATAAAGGCAAGTGGTCCTCTTCCGAGTTCCTTTTGCAGTGCTTACGAGAGATTTTGTCAGAAGAGGACCACTTATCTCTATGATTCGGTACCTGCACATCTGCGCTGTTTAAAGTTTGTACAACACTAGCTCAAAAAGCCTGGATGTTCAATGGGGTCATGATGTACAATCACTGAGCCACAAGATCAGGTTTCAGCGCAAAATCCAGTTATCCATAAATGGAACGAATCAAAACAACAGCATATTATATCATACTATGCCTGTCCTGACAACTCTTCAGCCATTTGGCCGTGGGTTCTGGCACCTGGAGCGGAGTTCCACTGCTAGGCTGACCCTACCTCGTCTGAGTCTATTCATCGAGGCGGTGGCCAACCGGTCGGTCTTTTGGGTGCCATGAGCCACGGTCTATCCGGTCTATCATCCTATGACCTGCGCCCCCCGTGGATGATGCGGGCCTGTTGCAGCCTGTTGCAGGCCTTGTTCCAAACATTGGTGATTTGCTTGTGAAACCGGATCAACGTTACAGATTCGGACAGAACAAATCATTTAGATACTATAATATATTATATATATATACCTGGACCCCTGTTTTGGAGGATCAACTGTCCAAAATATGGTACTTTCCTGTCAAAACAGAGGTCGGTCAGGCTCTAGGTATATATACATGGTAACCCCCCCTGAGATCCACCAAAGACTTTTAGCTCTTCCAGTTTGACGTCTTCGTTCGTGCACTTACACCCCAGCAACAAGCTGGGAGTGTACCAAAGACTTTTAGCTCCACTGGACAGACCCAACATTTATCCTCGTGCAGTCGTGACTGTGGTGGCTTACCCACCAGGCGGACGGGCGGCTGAGAAGGCATCGGGGGGTGGAAACCCCGGGCTGATTGGTTGGGTCACTCAGCCGGCCGACGTGGTTTGGACCCTTGAACAGAGCATTTGTGAGGGCAAGGCCACAACGCCCGGGGCAACCGTCAATGCGGAGTAGCCACAAGTCAAATGACAGCCTGTATCACATGGATGACACGCCATAAATGGACGGCTCTGCTCTGGATCATGACACTGGCCACTTTCAAGAACGCAGCTATCCTCACTTGGGGTTCAGAGTGGGTCCCCATGTCCCAGAAATGTCACTCGATTGGTTGTCCCCAACTGTCCCCATGTCCCACATGTCCTTAAAAACATGTTCTGCCAGACTCTGGCTGCTTAGATCGCTTCTATTTATTACTAGTAACAAGAAGCTATTAGAAACAAGTGCCACGGTAGTAGTAACACGTCTCCAATGCCCGGTGTGTTCCCCGTCTCCGATCTCCCGGTCTTCGCGCCTGCGACGCCGGCTCGGTGGGACCCTGGTCCAAGGTCTTGCCCTGGGATGGCACTCCCAAGTGCTGGTTGATGTGGGCATGGTGAAGTGTGGTCTCCCAGTGGTGGCGGGTCTCTTACAAGGCTGAGAAGCCTTGGTTGCTGAGTCCGAACCCGAGAATGGACCTGCGGAAGACTGAAGATGGACACCTGTAGACTGTAGAGGTATACATATCTATATACTCGGAAAACAATGGGCAGCAACTCAAGCCCAAGAACATGCACGGCGTTACCTTGCCCATCCAGGCATGAATATCTTTGTTCGTTCTTTGAAAGGACATCGAGAAGACAAGTCCAGAGTCAACACCGATTCCGCAGTTGCACGCCCTACTCCCATGGACGTTCACCGACGTGACGCCAGCTAACACCTGCCACCGCATCACGGTAAACCGAAGTGCCTGCGCCGGGCAATGCCAAAGAACCACCTGTGCCGGGCTGAGCAAAGCCATGGAGGCCAATGGTGTTCCATGGATCCTGTTCATCCATCCGTCTACATCTGTGCTCCAACTTCCTCAAAAAAGCACGTAAACGGGAAATCATGGGACACATCACTTTTCACCTGGCTCTTCCCATGAAGACTTTTCTGAAACATTTTTCTTGCTGCGCATCCAAAGTAAAGGGTCACTTCATGTCAGCCGCCATACTCAAACTGTCCAGTGCCATGTCATGCGCCGTGCTCTCGCGAGGTACCGTTTCCCCGACCTCGCCACACCTCCATCCTGGCGCTGCAGAATGGCTTGTTTTGCTGGATAGGAAGATCTGGACTATGGCATTTAGTAGAAGTTTATGCTGAGAGCAGGTGCATAGTACAATCCTTGTCCAAACGCTGCCCTTGTCTATACAACGTGATACAAACAACCTCAAGCATGAATGCTTCCAACCCTGAACATCCCATTGGCTTCAATCATTCAATGTCAAATCCAGTGAACAAACCACATGCCAGGCAAACGGAGTCCGCGGAATCCCTGGTGCCAGGCACGGGTCCGGCACGGGTCGCAGTGTGTGAACATGCAACCCTTGGGTTCGATCGTACGAAGACCGTCTTGAGATATCGAGATACAAGAGAACTGTCGATCTCGCAATTCGATACAGCTGTCGGCGTATGATGGCTTATGGGTACAAGAAAGAACGATGGCTTATGGGTACAAGAAAGAACGAAAGCCTAGTCTCGACCAGGCTACACATTTCCTGAGGTGCTATTTACATGGTGCTAGATGACAACATCAAACATGTTGCAGGCTAGACTGTCAACGTGACGCCCAGGCTTCCCATGTGACGCCCAGGCTCGCCTGAGAGCCCCAGCTCTGGTCACTGAGACACCACTGGAGCTGCTGAAGCCTCGACTCTGGACGAGCCATGTCAGAATGGCAGGTCTTGGTCGTTTGGGTCACCAGGTTAGGCCAAGCCGGATTCGCAACGCAGTCTCCATTCTTGGCGTTTCTTTTCTCCTGATCAATACCGCCACAAGCTTTTGAGCAAGTGTAGTCCCAATGTGTCGTAGTGTCGCCTTCTGTCTTTCAAAAAGTATATCTGGTCGCCCTTGCCTTACAGTGAGTTACCCAAGTTCGTACATATTCGAGCTCTTCCAGGTTTCTCACACAGCCACGGCAGTGGCTAATGCTTGGCAGCCTGCGTCCTGGGAAGGGGACGCCAGTGACAACTGGTCAGACCATCCAGGTGAATTGATGATATTTGAACCGCCAGACCACCAGGAGTGATAGGGATTGTAAAGCCAGTGAAACCCAAATGTGTGAGCGACATTGAGCGACCATCCATCCGTGAAACGATCCAAACCGCCGACGCGACGCAACCGTGTCAGGAATCGACTCACGGGAAAGAGTTCTCTCCATGAGGAGTGGAGGATTCACTGTCATCGTCAATAAACATGTGGGACGTGCCAAAGGAATAGAGTATTTATTGAGAAAACTACCTGATTCCCCTCCGACTTCACTGCCTTTGATAGGCCGTGACGGACACGGACCACAAGTCGCGCTATCGAGAAAACTGTTTTGGATATGTGTGAGAATAGCTGTAATCACAAACAATCGACAAAACAGAAGCTTTGGGATTGACGATCCTGGAGATGATACTCCTTCGCATCTCAACGGACCACAGGTGGACCTGTTCCCAAGGCTCTGTGTATATCCAAAGTCTAGAAGTCCTTAATCTTCATGACTCATACTGTATCACATGAATCATATTGAATCATCAAAAATTGAGAAAAACGGCTTCATTTTTGTCAATGTTTTCTTTTTTTTCCATCGGAACATCAAGTCCGTATTCTGTTATTCCTTGCAGTTTTCCATCATTCACCTGCCGATGTTTCGACGACTCGCTTCTTCGAAGCCTCCAACTGTGCTTCCCACAGCTCCAGCCAACCTGGCTCAGTCCAGAGTTTCTTGATGTTTCTTGTTCTTTGTTTCTTGGAACGCCCTCGACAGGAACCAGGAACGCTTTTTCGGACTTGCTCGACTCACCCAGGACGAGGCACCCCCCACCCACGGGTTACGCGTCCCCAGGACCCACGGAACATTCGATAGATTGGAGGCCTCCCAGCTTCAGGAGAGCTTAGCTGTTTTCATCGTGGGATATCCAGAAGTATTCCGCACCAACATCCATCCATTGCACTAGTCCAACAAGCCTCAAGTTTGGCTCCTTTTTATGAAAAAGTACACCGTGCAAGACCCTATGGCTCATGTCAGAACCACAAATGTACACACTCCAACAGCTGTTCGAACAGATTCCAACTGTTTCAACATTCCTTGAGACCAGCCGTGGCCGCCAAAGGCCACGGTTTCCACCCGAAACGCTCTTGAATCCATGAAAGGTTGACGAGTCTGCCCTGCTGTAGCCGCTTGAAACTCTTCCTGGATGCGAAAGGCACCGGCCAAGGCAACACGGTGTTCCTCCAACCGTTTTGCTTCGTCTTTTGACGTCTTTTGGTTACAGTATTTAGTTGAAGTCTGTCGCTAATTGACGTCTTTATGCCCAACCAACTTGGCTAACGAACGCAAGTGATCTGCAGGAAACTCTGCGTCAACCAGGAAGTTCTTGGTTGTGATCCATTTTTTTGGTAGGGGCGCCAAAATAAGCAAACCCATCAAAAATTTGTCCCAAAAACAAATAATCCCGGCAAGAGACCCCAAACAGTGTGGAGTGTGTATCATCCGCAGTCATCACAGAAAGTGGCAGGAGGAGGTGAAGCACCCGCGAGCACGAAGGAGGAGAAAGTAGAAGTGCATGGAAGTAGGGAGAGTAGCACCCGCGAGCACGAAGTAGAAGGTGAATTGTCAAATCGAACAAACAGAAGCTGCAAAACGAAAGCCAGCGCTTCCCTTTCTCGAGAACTGCGCGTCGAAGCATAGGATAGAAAGGTAGGTCTGCACCCCAGATCCACCATCCCACTCCATTTTCTTTCATTTCTCTACGGCAGCTCCGCTTGGCATTTGCCAGGTGGAGGCGGCCGTGAGACCTCTTACACACCTACACAAGTTCAAAGCACGAATGAGACTTCAAAGCTGTGGATTGCTGTGCGTGTGTAGAGGCTATCGAGCGGTTGACGGAAAGGGAACTTGAAGTACTATACCTGGTAGCTGCAAGCAAGGTGCCAACTACACCTTTATTTTCAAGGTGGCCTGAACAGAGTGTTTCAGGGCAGTAAACCGTGGTCTCAGGCCAATTTAGCTTGAAAACCACAGCTACATAGCTACCCTGGGTCTCTATACCTGGCAAGGTGCCAACTACACCTTTATTTTCAAGGTGGCCTGCACAGAGTGTTTTAGGGCAGCAAACCCTGGTCTCAGGCCACCTTGAATTTAGCTTCAAAACCACAGCTTTGAAGCCTCATGCGCGCCATACCTGGGAACAGAATTGTAGCTACAAGACCTTTATTTTCAAGGTGGCCTGAACAGAGTGTTTTAGGGCAGCAAACCCTGGTCTCAGGCCACCTTGAATTTAGCTTGAAAACCACAGCTTTGAAGCCTCATGCGCGCCATACCCGGGAACAGAACTGTAGCTACTTGTAGCTACCCTGGGTCCGTATAAATAGTATGTTGCTATACCTCTTACACACCTATACAAGTTCAAAGCACGAATGAGACTTCAAAGCTGTGGATTGCTGTGCGTGTGTAGAGGTTCTCAAGCGGTTGACGGAAAGGGAACTTGAAGTACTATACCTGGTAGCTGCACTATAGCTACCCTAGGTCTCTATACCTTGCAAGGTGCCAACTACACCTTTCCATTCAGATGATGCAAATGAAGCATTTGGCATTTCTTGCATCACCACCCCTCAAAAATCACCTCCAACACAACCTCAAAAAACCTTCCGTATACCTTTCTCGGGCCACCCCCCCAGACCCCCTAACTACTCACTTCGTTCGCCAGACACAACTCCGCTAGCGCCTTCTACGAAGGCTGGCTTTCGTAACAAACAGTTCGAACAGAAAACTGAAATGTCCAAAGAAAGAGAAAATCATTGTCCAAGGCGGAAAGGTCCAATGTCAAAGTAGAAATTGAAAGGCAGCAGTCGTCAAGCGCACTTTTTGCCTTGAGTAGAGCAGGCAGGAGCACAATGTGTCGTGGAATCGCAGACAGAGCATAGAAATGCTCACAGGAGACACCTTGGTTCTTCCACTGCGTCGCGGAATCGCAGACGGAGTGCGTTTCTATAGCAAAGTGTCGTGTAGCCGCAGACGGGAGGAGACTCTGTCACGGAGCCGCAGACAGAGTGCTCGCTGTAGGAAACGGTCGCGGAGTCGCAGACGAAAAAGTGTCGCGGAGCCGCGGACACCTCAGGAGACAACGGTCGCGGAGTCGCAGACCGTCGGTTGCAGTGGATGCAAGTCGAGCGTGGGGTGGAACTAAACCAGGTGCGCTGGATACAAGAATAGCTAGGCGTACCGCGCCAGATCGCTCTCGAAACAAAAGCCTAAAGAAGAGCACACACATGAGAACAAGCTTGAGTTTCAGAGGTCTACAGAAGTCTAAAGAGCACGCGTCTGAGAGCACAGTCACCAGACCACGCAGAATATGAGCGTGAGTGAGAATGAGCAGCCATGTGAGTGAGAGTGAGCGTGGGCGTTCCGAGCGCGAGTGAGAGCGAGCGAGTCAGAGTGAGGTGGACGTGGTCAGTGTAAGAAGACAGAGGTCAGATCTGGCTTGCAAGGTAGACGATCGCACATCTGAGAACACAGTCACCAGAGCACGCAGCAAGTGAGCGAATCAGTGAGCGAGTGAGGATGAGTAAGAGTGTGACAGTGAATGCGAGCGTGAGTGAAAGGAAGAATGCTTGTGAATGAGAGTGAGTTATGAGTGCGAATGAGAGAGCAGAAGACCAAGGAGAGCACACCTCTGAGAACACAGTCACCAGAGCATACATCAAGGTAGTGAATGAGTGAACCTTGCCCAAAGTGCCGAGCGCGCCTGGGTGGAACCACGCCAGGAGACAAGAGGTCTAGGTGTCTAGGAGTGTGGATCACCAGACAGAGATCCAGAGAGCACACATCTGAGAGCACAGTCACCAGAGCACGCATCAAGTGAGCAAATTCACACAATGCGGCGCCTGTCACGAACTCACGAACTCTGCAAAGTGCTGCGCCTGCTACGAAATCTGCAGCTCGAGGTTCACCAAGTGCTGTGCCTGCCACGAAGCCTACACTTCGAAGTTCACCAAGTGCTGTGCCTGCCGCGAAATCTGCACCTCGAGGTTCACCAAGTGCAGTGCCTGCCACACGAAATCTGCACTTCGAGGTTCACCAGTGCTGTGCCTGCCACGAAATCTGCACTTCGAGGTTCACCAAGTGCTGTGCCTGCCACGAAATCTGCACTTCGAGGTTCACCAAGTGCTGTGCCTGCCACGAAATCTGCACTTCGAGGTTCACCAAGTGCTGCGCCTGCCACGAAATCTGCAAACGAGCCACATGTCCAAAAGTCACAATTCACTGCACCTGTCACGAAATCAGAGCTCTTCGACGATCACCACCATGTCCAAAATGCTGCACCTGCCACGAAAACTGCACTTCGATTTAAAACAGCTCCGATCCCTTGCACTTGTCACGAAAAGTCGACTTTGGAGCACCAAAGCACGAGGTTTCCTTTGCACCTGCCACGAAAAAAGACCACCATGTACCAAAATGCGCACGGCACCACAACGAGAGCGCAGTCGCTAGAAGCACCCGCCGCCGGCCCCCAGACTTTGTGAGCCTGCGCAGTGGAAGTGCACATGGACGATGTCGCGAGTCATGAATGTACTGTAAATAGCAATGAATTAGCCGTTCACGCTGGCGCGCTTCAGCGATCTAAGCATCAGCTGCCTTTCCCTTACCGTAAGAACCCCTCAGTGTGCCCACACTGTTTGGGGGAACAACAAGGGAGAACCGTGAAGCCAAAGCTATTTTCTTTTTTTTTGAATCATTTCTCTTGAATGCCTGACTTACATTGACTTACTCTCTGGTTTTCGACCTCTCTCGCTCGTTTTATGTCTTGTTCATTTCTTCTTTGATCCAAACTTGTATTGAATCCTTGAATGTCGCACCCTTGAACAGCGACTGCTAAGCTTCGACCATCCCAATTGCCTCGACAAGGACCCGGGCAACCTGCAATTGGAGAAACAAGGCTCTCATGGCAGGATTGGTTGGTACTCAATACGTTCCTTGGACTCTCTGGCAAGGAGAACAATTGACTGCATCTGCTCCAAATTGAATGATATTGAAAGGCTACTTTACATAACACCAAGCCATGGCATCATCTGAGTATTCCAGTATATGGCACCTATTTCACTGGCATTTTTGGCAGCAAAAAGGAGAACAACCGTAGGGAACAACCGTAGGAAGCACGGAAATCCAAGCAAACATGTATGCACAAACGCCAAGCTTCATGAGAACAAAACGCAATTGCGAAGGTAGACCTAGTGTAAGTCCTCTGTTCAATGAGTGTCTGGACGAACCCAACATGCACTACAAGTAGGAAGAATAATGCATGTAAATGCACAATCAACTTGATTGTAGTTGATAATGCAATGCACATACTATCCTGGATCATCTTCAAGTTACTTCACTTGCCACTTGCTCAGCTTCGACTCAACCAAGGCTAGGATATCCAGAATGCCTCGACTCATCCAGCCGTGCGAAAACACGCTGCTTGGCTTTCCGAAACCTTTATGAAAACGCGTTCAGGAACTTGTGGGGCACAGGCCACAGGTCTTTCTGTTGGTCGCCTGCTTGGGTGCCTGTATTGCGTACTGTACTGGTGCCTCTCTGTGTATAGGAAGCTCGTTTCACAGTCAAGCTGTTCTCCCTGTAGGGTCCAGTGCGCTGGGTTGGTGACCTGGGGGCTAAATCAATAAGACTCAGACTTTGATTTCACAATGCGAGCGAAGAGTGCGTGAATTGCCGTGTGGAAAATGGAGACCTGCCAGCCCAAACCAAACCAAACCATATTTTTTATAGAATGCTACACACCACCGGAGCACTGTTGCGCTGTTTCGTCGACCTACTGGCCGTCACGTGACGGCCTCCGACTGGAGCTTCAAGAGCAGCGACCAGTCCAAAACATCCTCGCCACAGGGCACGTTTCGGGTGGCACACCGAAGTGCCATCAGCTTGCAGGTGACGCACATGAGACTGGTCCCTTTATGCAAGCCTTGACAAGTTGGAGATCTAAGCAGACATTGACAGCTTGCAGGAAAACACGAGTTGGCATGGCGGTGAACTTGTTGTTCTTTTTACATCCAGAAGGGCAGTGGTAGAAGCGTTGACTAAGACTAAGTGGTTTCCTGAAAACTGCTCTCTGATATTTACAGGCAGAACGTGTAAAGAACACCTGCAATTCGCAGTTCGAAGCTGCCAAGAGGTTCCCCCCAGCTTTTGCGGCGCACCAGCGGGACGGAGGGTCTCGAAGTAGTTATTTCTTTAATGAAACATGGACCCATCCATCAACCCAGCAATCCCATCATGCTGAACAAACATCGTCAGTCAGCTACCATGACTTGGCCTCTGAAAACTGGATACCCTGAAACACTCAAGTGGCTTTCCAGCAGGATTCACCAGTTCTGTGGTACAACAAGCGATTCCCCCGGTTCTGGCTGATGCCAGACCCCTGGCATCCAATGCATCACACCCGTCCTCAGAGATGGCCCAGCCGCCCTGACAGGAAAATAACAACACAGTTCAGTGAACCAAACCAAATGTATATACTGATCCATAAAATAAATCCAATACATGTGAGATTTTGATCCCACATATCTGTTGGGCATAGGTTTGGAAGATCGAATCCAACACCTCTCTCAATGGGGAACCCTTGCTCAACAAACACCTCTGCGTATGATTGTCCATCTTGCGCACCATGCTGCATGAACCTATGTCCAAGACATGTATCCGGATGAAGCTCGCTACACCAGCTCGTGCTCTTTCAATACAAGCATAGAGCGAACTCGTTGAACCGTCCTGGACAAACATCTTCCCAAATGAAATCCGTCTTGGCTCTTCAAAAGAACACCGGAGTGGTCTAAATCATGAATGAACCATCATGAACCATCTCTTTGTCCCACACGTATCATCAGGGTGCTTACGGGTCCCGGGCGTGACTCCTCTCCGCCACCGGTGTTCTCTCTCGGCCTCCCGGAGGCTCCGGCGAAAGGCACGGGAGATGGTGCCAGTGCCGCTCCAAAGACTCCTGTGACGAACGGTGCGACGGTTCGGTCAGTGGTTCTGCTGCCGAACAGCGAGTCAGGTTTGGACGTTGGGTGCGGGACCTCGCGCGTGCGAGAAAGACCCGATATCAATGGCAAAAAAGTGGCAACAGCTTGGGGTGAAGAATGGGTTGGCTACGGTGAAAGGCCAATGGATGCGGTGTGAGTCACAGTCTGTGATTGAACGGACTTGATCGTAAAGAAGATGAACGAATAAGGCAAAGGTGCGTGGAGAGAAGGAGATTTGATAGCCCCCGCTTCCATTAGAGCTCCCTCAAAGAGAGATTCGTCCCATGTTCACCATTACTCGTACTTTGGATTTTGCTTAGGTCACTTTGCACATCTTCCCTCTTCAATTGCGTCAATACACATGGAGATGGCCTGGCAAGCTGGTAACACCCATCAGCTTGGCTCCCTGAGGCAAAGCCTCCTTGGATACCTCCTTGGATATACTCTGATGACCAAGTTCTATATATATATCCGCCGACCCCTTGCGACTGCAAGGGGAGCGCGTGAGAGAAGGTACGAGTGCTCAGGGTGTGGAGGGTTCGAGCATGGTCTTGCTGTGTGGGGGCGAACGGAGCGGCCCCGGAGATGGCGCCCCAGCTGCTTCAAAATGTGTTTTTACGGGATCCGAAAGCGACGTTAGACATCTGGGCCTGCCCTTCAAACCCCTCAAACCCCTCAAATCCCTCAAAAGCCTCGAAACTTGCCAGAAGGGGCTTGCTCGAGGCTGCTTCAAAATGTGTTTTTGTATCTCCCCTGCATTAGGTAGGGGGCGGGGTGAGGGCCCCCCTTGATTAATTTACTTTTTTAATTAGGGAGGGCCTTCTAAATAATCCAACCACTGCCAAGTGGAAGATTAAAATAGATAAGAAAATTAATCAGGAATGACTGTGAGGCAGGCCGAGTTCTCAGTTAATTAATCTAGGTGACCTGTGAGTTCAAATTAAAAAAACACTGAGATGTCAACCACCATACGAATAATTTCTGAATTCTGAAAATGCAGAGTGCACACAAGCAGCTTCTTCTTACCTGCCACATCTACTGGTTTCCATATCTGTATTTACCTGAACTCTGTATTTCATTGTATTTCTGTCATGTTTCATTCGTTCTTTCAATCGCTGAGTTCCTCCCTGCTAAAGGATGCGTTGTGCACAAACACATGCAAAATCTCAATCACATCTCTCTGTTTACTTTGCGACATCTGAATCACAAGCCTTGCACACATTGTGTACAGCATCTAAATCACAAGCTGGAGCTAGTATAATTAGTATACACATATTTAATCAATGGGTGGTAGACATGTTCCTCACCACCTGTTTTATTTGCACCCCCCCCCAAATCAAAAAATTAATTCCAGTGACCTTGACCTAGGAAGCAAGAAATGAATTCCAGGTCAATTAATATCTGGCGCCTTGCTAGGGGTACCCCTCTGAGTATTCACCCAACTTCTAGAAATTAATCCAAAAAAATTATTAAAGATCTCAGTAGGAGACCTTGATTAATTTCCTAAGGCTGGGTAGATGTTTTTGTTTTTTTACGGGATCCGAAAGCGACGTTAGACATCTGGGCCTGCCCTTCAAACCCCTCAAATCCCTCAATCCCTCTCCCTCAAAATCCCTCTCCCTCCAAAGCCTCGAAACTTGCCAGAAGGGGCTTGCTCGAGGCTGCTTCAAAATGTTTTTTTTACGGGATCCGAAAGCGACGTTAGATATCTGGACCTGCCCTTCAAACCCCTCAAACCCCTCAAATCCT